ACCTGGTGATATTAGAGTTGATTTTACAATTGATACTGTATATGGAGTCTCTGATATGTCTAGAGTGTAGGATATTATGGATATTTTACAAAATGTGATCCTCCTGGTTTTTCATTAAGAGATTATATCAGCCCTTTCAGTATCATTCTCAGGAGAGTACGGATTTAAGCCTCACTCGAAAGATTTGGATGTGAAAACCGGTAACTCTCCAATGCAATATTATAGAGCTCCACTGTTGGATACAGTGTCAGTCAGGTATACCATTAAACTTAGGCCTTGACTTCTCTCTCAAATGGTTGTAAAGGATCCTGCACAGTGTTGAAAAATGGCTGGGAAGGTCTCCTGATGTCCAGGTCGACACATCACTCAAGCAACAGCTACAACTTGCTCATTAGTATAACTTCTGTATGTGGGTCCTTGCTGTGTAAAATATGCTCTACTGTTCCCTAACCACATTACTGATTGCATTTTGAAACTACTTCATTAACTATGACACACACTGGCACGTTTTGAAAGTCACTATATGGATGCAAGTTCTTCTTTTCCCAAATATTCACTACCAAATGTCCGGAATCAAAAAACCCACTCTGCATAGAACAAGCCCATGACTAACTGACCTGGATACTTTCCCTAATCAACCCATTACGGAGAGATTCTATGACACACTTCTAGAACAGATGGGACTTGAACCTGGGTCTTCTGACTCAGAGGTAGGGACACTACCACTGCGTCACAAGAGTCCTCAGACAGCTGGTGGAAACACATCAATAGTGGAAAAGAAATCAATGAACATTGCCAGTGTGGCTTTTTGAGTTCAACATAGAATGAATCCTGGGATGTTCAATTTAACATTTCTTAAATAATTTAAATAAAGTAACATTTAGCATAGTGTTGTAAAAATGTATTTGATGAGACTATATGCAACATTTTCAGGAACTTATTTGAAATCAGCGGAAAGTCTAGCTTAAATCAATCAGTTTATGCACTCTTGAAAAAATTCATTAGAAATACTTTGGAATAAAACTCAGCATTAATTATAGTAGGGCGGGTGAAATGTCCTTTAAGCTATCATGGGATGAAAGGGTTTTCTGCTTGCTGACTGGAAGGGTCACCTGTGGACTGAGTTATGCCCTCTCAGTCTTTGTATAATAGCCCTGGAACACAAACTCACCCCACTTGAAGACAATTTCACTCAGAGATCGGTGTGGAAAATGGGAAAAATATCACTATGAAGCAGCACAGAGTTCTAGTCTCAGGTAGCAGTCAGGCTACATTGTGAAAGTAGGACAGAGGGACCCCTGTCTAACCTTGGTATATCTGATCTAAGATGTAGTTAATTCATGTGCTCTATGATAAGCCCAAAGACCATACAAAAAAAACAGAATTTTTAAAAAAATGATAATTCAGAAGATATTTAAGCTCTTATGCCTTGGTGTTGTTTGAAAATAAAAACAAAAGTGTTCTAAGTATCTTACTGGAAGCAGAAAGTAAGGGAAGTGGGGTGTCAGTGTATGCTGGCCCTGTACTGTACAAATAAACAAGAGACAAATACAGGTGCAGCCCTGAAAGACTGGCTGTTAATGTTTAATGCTAGCAGGTGATAAGTGGTCACATTTCAGTTTGTTGCTACCCAGCGAGTCATAGCTACCATGGCCACGGCTATCAACGCTTACCACTTTCCTGGAAATAAAGTATTTCCTGATAGGCAATAATAAAAGTGCACAAGAGATAGTGATTTACCATGTCCCTGTGTTTTGAAACTTGCTATCAAACAACAGGATATGCAATAAATAAATAAACTGAAACAGTCTATCATTGCAGATTGAGATAGCATTTGCCAAACTTCCACAAATAGGTATTTACTGAGTTTTAAAATCAATCCATATGTTAACACTTTAAGACTCCACTGAAATGTTCTAGTCACTTGAGCAGAGAACACCCTCCCACCTCACCTAATATCTGCATATTTGCATCTCTAATGATCTATTTATTTCTCTTGCACATAATGTGTTTCATTCCAATCACAACAATGACACAGACTTTAGTACAGAGGATTGGTTGGTATGTGAAATGGACTCAATTTTTTTTGCCCATTCCCTGTTTCCATCCCAGTCAGTGGTTAACTGCACCCATTTTTATCCAATTCAACCTCACTGTTGAACTGGTTAAAATGAACAATTTCATCAACTGACCTTAAGAAAATGAACGTGAGGTCATGATCTTTAATATTAATACCCAGGAAGCAGAACCATTTTTAAAAGAAAATAATTTTACTATATATTCTGGTTTTTAATGCGGATGACCTACTACGAGCCAGTTTTATGAGAAATATTAGCAACAGGAACATTCTGAGAATAACAGATTCTAAATAAAACGCATTTGTTTCATTTGAGTTTTCTATTGTTGCAAAAACTGAGTTATATCAGATTGTGAGATAACAAGGTGTAGAGCTGGATGAACACAGC